CCCCCCTCCCCCAAAAAACAACAACAGCAAAAAAAACAAACAAAAAAATCCCCGTATTCAAGTACTATCCAGGTCTTTCTCTTTCACTCATTTGTTCCTACGGCTTCATCAGCTGATTTAAATGTTCACTGTATTCTTTTCCTCCTCAATGGTTTATTTATTACCTACTACTAGAATTTCTCTGAAAAACTGGCGCCTGTGATGTATCGGTTACGTGCTTCGCTGAAGACGCGAGTCAATTCCCGTGTAGGGATAAATGTTATCGAGTATCTCCTTTAATTTTCTGATGGACGTTACCAGTATATCCTTCGAAGGCCGGCTGGTTGTCCATTTTGGCATGCGGCGTCAAAGTAACCCGTCTCCCAAATTAGTGTCGATGGAAGTGTAAAATTTCAACAATTTGCTTATAAATTATCTCTCTGTATTGTCTTACCTTTACCCTGCAATGTCTTCCACCAGGGTGAGAATGGCTGGTTCAGAATCGTCACCAGTAAATACAAGGAAGGTAAAGGCGGCGAATACAACCTGGATATAGAAGCAGGCTGCTACTACGGAGATGTCATTGTTTAGCAAGGACTCGCGTGTTTACGTCAGCACTCGATGTGGTTGGCTGCGGAGGACTGGGCACTGGGGAAGAACGATTGTATTTAAAACAACAGGACCAAAAAAATTCGTTCAAGGAGCAGCGACTGTTCAAAGCGAATACCTCGTCTTTGTGGTATTTGTCATGGTCTCGGTACTCAAAGTATTTAATGTCTTTTTGCAGTTTACAGAGAAAGATAGGCTCAATAAATCCCCCTCGGTATTTTCAGTCTTAGGACTTTGATGGTAACATTTTGAAACAAATTCTCCTTACTTGAAGCACCGGTTACCTGCACTTTGCTGTAGTTGGGAGCTACTTAACTTTTGAATGAGATCTTTTCTTTACTATCTTTTGGCGAGTGTTTAATATGAGTTCGAGGTTTGCTTTCAGTCATAATTCAGACATACAGTCTGGAATGAAAATTTGTGCCTGTTGGGGAAAGTTTTTATTCTTGCGTGTGGTTTAATCTCTATTCTGCTTTTCGTCTCACACTGGCCACCCTGTCAAACAAGTCAGCCTTCATCCCTGTCTGTGAGTGGTTGATTCCTATCAAACTGTTCAATATGTAAGTAAGCACAATGAGGTGCTTCTCTTATTTCACCTTGAAGAACGTAACAAAATCTTCACCATCTGAATATTTTTTTTTAGATTGTAAACAGTTCTTCAACACATGTACAGCTACTGTGTACTGAGTACCGGTATAGGAAAAGGGCTGGCAAGTGTATATTTTTAGTTAAAATTTTATGGTTGGACCCCCCCCCCCTTCCCCACCAACAAATAAATGAATAATAAGTAAATAAATAAACAAACAAACAAACAAACAAATAAATAAATAAATAAATAAAGCTCAATTTCAGGGTGAATTGGCTTGGCTCTGGTTCTTGAAAAATCGAGAGTCTTGTCTAGCTAGCTGTGTTCGCTACTGTTAGCGATTACACTAAGTTAAACTGTAACAAAGGGATATAGATCTAATAATATACTAGTCGCTGTTTCCCGCTCGGTGTTCCCAGGGAACAGTGACGTCAGAAGTCATTCCTCAAGGAACTGCCGGTTGATTAGTGTGGTTTCCTCTTTCTGCCTTTTCTTCCTATTTTTTTCTCTCTTTTTTTCTTTGGTTTCTTCTTACTATTATTCGCATTCTGCAGCTGAGTTTCGATTTATGATGCTGTACTGCTTTAAAACTATTCGATAACGCTCAATATTATATTAAACATAAACTGTATTTTTACCTGTTAGCTCCTTTGATTCCTATACAGTACTGCAAGACCTGCTTTATAAATTTACCAAAAAGCCTGCCATACAGCTCCGGGCAAAACAGCAAAGAGATTAATTGACTTAATCGCTTTACTGATAGTCCTGCTTTAAGTATTAGTATTAGCTTTCGTATTCATATGAGTATTCGTATTCGTATCGTATTCCTATTAGTATTTGGTTTAGTACTAGTATTAATAAGAGTCTTACGGCACTTGTAACACAATGAGGTCATATATAACTGCCGAAGATTAGAGGTGTTACAATCTAATAACAAACAAAAAAGAAGAAGGAAAGAAAAGGACGACAGACAATTGATAGGAAAGAAAGAGCAACGTACACCAGAGTACCCACCAACCACCCACTACCTGCTTTGTAATCTTGCCAAATGACTTGTACTCTTCAGGGCAAAGTAGTGAAAAAGGCTGATTTATCAGTTTGACTGTCAAACCTTTTCTTTCTTCACCATCATGAACTACCATGTCTGAAACTGATAAAATAGCGGTGGTTATGGTTCACTAATAATTTCTTCGCTCAGATGCATGAGGAAAAAAACTATCTAAAATAGAATAAAACATGGTACCCTGGGCATTTCTCCATTAATCATCCGCTGAGGTTTAGGAGCAAACTAATATGTCACTCTGGGTCTATCCGTTCCTCGTTTGCCTTCTTTTCTTCCAGGAAGGGCAATGTATTCAACTTAGTTCAAGGCATTGCTCGATTCTAGTGCCCCAGAAACTGTATTTGTCTCTTTTTAATTGTTTTTCTTTTTGGGTGCCCCGCGTATTATTCTTTCAGTAGGCCTACTTCCTCATTTGATTTGATTTCCTTTCCTTCCACGGAATTCAAAGAAGTCTCCTCAAAAAACAAAAAACAAACTACAACAAAATTTATTGTAAAAAAACCAACTCCCCCCCCCCCCCCC